AAAAAACAACAAACAACAACAACAAAAAAACAAACAAACAAAAAACAAACAAACAAACAAACAAACAAAAAACTCTTGTTTTCCGTTTGGACTTGGCCTGCGCAGCTGGCGCGTCAACTCAGCCGTTCGGGGCTTATTCCAGTTTCCGTAGCATGATGCCGGCTAGGAGTATTGCTACTCCCCCTGGGTGGGATGCTAGTCCAACGCCTGGTTACCCCCGAAATTTTTTAGGTTGTCCTAACAGTTCGCCGGTACCCATGCATTTATAATCCTGGGTGGGGAGAGGCACTTTGAGTCTAGTGACGTGTCTTTCGCAAGAACACAACATAGTGACCCCGGCCAGAGCTCGAACCCAGGACCGCTCGATCCGGAGCCCAACGCACTAAACCATTAGGCCACCTCGTCTCTCACTTTACATAATTTAAATTTAAAAAAATACAAGAACTAAATAGTATAACAAATAAAATAAAAAAGCAGACCTTTCCGAACAGTTGGCAATATTCGTCATATAATGGTTCGTCAATGTCATCTATATAAGTGGAGTAATCCACTTGGTATCCAGTATGATTCATCGTGTTATCTGGTAAGGAGTAAGAAAAATGTATATTTGTAAGTTCATTTAGTTTACTAGTAATACGTGACTCGCATGGGTCCTCGCGAATCTGTGATGGGGATAAACCTAACCTGCGATCAGGCCCTCCTCGAAGAGAGGAGGGCCTGATACAATTACTTGCCGGATCTCATGTACAACATTCAGATTCTGAATGTTTTCCTGATTGGTCGAAAAACAATACTTCCGTCAATCATGCGTACCTAATATGGCTTTTGTCAATCCGGCGTGCTCGCTCGATTAAAGTACAAGAAAGGCCTTCTACTTTCCCACTCCGCTACCGCCTTTTGCGAAGGGAAGGACTCTTCTGAATCATTACTAAGCCAATATAAAGATCTTACATTTAAAACGGCTGAAGCTTTCCGCTTAAAAAATGGTTATTTGATTCAAATTTCTAAACGGAATCATGGAATCATTCGACCATAACGACTGACTAGACATGTCTAGGACGTTATTATGCAAATTTGTGTCGTGTAACGCAATCGTAGTCAGTGCTGTTTTCGGAATGAAAATGACAGTCGAAGGCTCTATTCTACTTCAAAATGCTCCTCATAATACAACATATCTTGCCCGTTTAGAAATGCACTTGAAGCAAAGAAGGTCAGAAGACCGAATTCAAGAGAAGGGCAAGTGTACAAATGCCACGAACTGTAACGTAGATTTTGAAAATTGACAGCTTGACAGATCATTGACAAGTGGGTGAAAGCGAATCGGCAAATAATTGTATCAGGCGTTCCTTTTCCTCTCTCTCTCTCTCCGCGCTCTCGTTCTCCGCGAAAAGAAAGAAAAGGAAAAGAACGCCTGATCGCAGGTTAGGATAAACCCGGATAAATTATTGTTGGGGTGTGAGGGTGATAACCAGGCTTTAGGGATCGACTGGAGTTCGCTGGTCTCCCGACATCTAGCCTGTTCCAGGCTCTCGGATAGTGGGGACGAAGCGAAAAAGCGAATGGCCGCGCGAAGATAGTCTGGCTGGAACAGGCTACCCGACATCTGCCCTTTCCTGTTGACGGTCTTGTTTTCGACGAACGACTGACAGGACGAGTAACTTGCGTGACACCGTTTAGAATATGTCCTGCATTTCTGACTACAGATTTGTACATCAATTATAATTATTTCATGCAAAGAACCTTTCCTTTTCTTGTTAATTAAGGAAACGCCGTGATTACCGGTAAGCCGCGAATATATATTTTTTACTGTGAAGTCTGTGAAGTCTGTGAAGCATATCGAATTGAAGGTGTTCTCAGATGTCAAATGTAGCGCTCTTAGGGGGTGATTACATGGCGAATTTCAGCCCGGGCTGAAATTTCAGCCCGGTTAGGGGGCTGGAATTTTGTTGCGATTACATGACGAGTTTCAGCCCGGGCTGAAATTTCAGCCCGGGCGCCAAATTTGAAATTGCGCGGGAAGAGTCATCAGAGAATGAGGGGCGATTTGAATAACTGGCAACTTATTTACATATCGGCTGAACGTTTGAAGAACGAAGCTGTTGTTATATTCCATTTTCGATTTGAAATTCGCGACACATCGAATAAGATTTCCGATTTTATCTCCCTTGTTCCACTGGAACCTTTTTTCCATCTTGTTTAAAAACACAGGAGCGATTTTTACAATACCCGGCAACTTATTTACATACCGGCTGCACGTGTATATAAAAACAAAAGGACCATTCTTATTCAATGACATGCAAATACGTTGCCGGGCATTCTACAATTTAGCCAAAACACAATCACTGCGCATGCCCAAGTTCACATTTCAGCCCGGGCTGAAAATTCCATTACGATTACATGGTTTTTTCAGCCCGTTTGGTCGGGCTGAAAATTCCAGCCCGGTTTCTCAAACCGGGCTGGAATTATCAGCCCGGGATGAATTTCAGCCCGGGCTGAAACCTTGTCCATGTAATCGCTAACTTCATTTCAAGAGGATTTGTTTCGGAAGTCGGGCTGAAATCTCAGCCCCCCTAACCGGGCTGGAATTTTCAGCCCGGGCTGAAATTCGCCATGTAATCACCCCCTTAGTTTCGGAAATTGATGTACTGTTTCCCTGCTTTTCCGTCGAATGATCTGAAAACCACCTCGCTTTTGTAGCTAAAATCTTCTCTTTAAAACTCATTTTTGCATTCAGCCGCCTGGCAAATTCGCAAAATCGATCGGCTACAATGAAAACTACATTAAGGGAGTGATTACATGGCGAATTTTAGCCCGGGCTGAAATCTCAGCCCGGTTAGGGGGCTGGAATTTTGTTGCGATTACATGACGAGGTTCAGCCCGGGCTGAAATTTCAGCCCGGGCACCAAATTTGAAATTGCGCGGGAAGAGTCATCAGAGAATCAGGGGCGATTTGAATAACCTGCAACTTATTTACATATCGGCTGAATGTTTGTAGAAACGAAGCATAAAAAAAAAACCAAAAGGATCCATTCTCATTCAATGTCATGCAAATAAGTTACCGGGTATTCCGCTGGAACCTTTTTTCCTTTGCTGTTGCCATCTTGTTTAAAAACACAGGAACAATTTTACAATAACTGGCAACTTATTTACATACCATACCGGCTGCACGTGTGTATAAAAACAAAAGGATCATTCTCATTCAATGACATGCAAATACGTTGCCGGGCATTCTACAATTTAGCCAAAAACACAATCACTGCTCATACCCAAGTTCACTTTTCAGCCCGAGCTGAAATTCCATTTCGATTACATGGGTTTTTTCAGCCCGTTTCGCCGGGCTGAAAATTCCAGCCCGGTTTCTCAAGAATTTTAGTCCGGGCTGAAACCTTGTCCATGTAATCGCTAACTTCATTTCAAGAGGATTTTGATTCGGAAGCCGGGCTGAAAATCTCAGCCCCCCTAACCGGGCTGAAATTTCAGCCCGGGCTGAAATTCGCCATGTAATCACCCCCTAACGGCCATGATCGTACTTTGAGAAATTATTGAGTCGTCATTCCTGTTCCTGATACCGGATTTTAATAAAGCCGGGTTTTTTTTGCCCCAAATTCCCCGCACTACTAGCTTCTACTGAACGTCCAACAAAGTCACTTCCCATATAAATTCGATCGATAAACAAATTTGATGTAATTCTTGAGTACGGTTCCTGTTCCCGCTACATTACGTCTACACAGATTACGTCGAAGTCCAGCAAAGAAAAGGGGGGGGGGGGGGGGGGGGGGGGGGGGGGGGGGGGGGGGGGGGGGGGGGGGAACGGCCCGGTGTCGAACCTAAAAAAAAGGACCCCAGGCGTCGAACCCTCGCCCTCAGTCCCGAAGATCAGATTTAAAAGTTAGCGCCTTAGACCATTAGTCCACAAGCGCAACCAAGCTAACGCAATGAGAACATTTTTTGAAGCTGCCATTTTTGTACACACTGATCAGTCAGGGATAAACTGACCAATTCGACTGGTCGTTCGCGACTGACCATGACTGACTAGTATACAGCTGTTTCGAGAAAGGTTGTCGGAAAAAAGCGCACGCGACAATCCGAAAGGTAATCTGGGATATGATCAATGAATTTTAATAAGTCAAATAAATACATCAAACCCGCGATACCTACTTTTGTTGCTTTCTTTTAGCACACGCAAACATACGTCCATGGCGTCTCTTTGCCATTTTCTCAAGATTTCCCTGAAATGCTGAAGTCAAGGAACCGTGAACTTAAACTTCCCACAATACCTTTCGGGATTGTCGCGTGCACTTTTTTCCGACAACCTTTTCTCGAAACAGCTGTGTATAATAGGACTAACATGCTGTCCAATTTGGAAATAATTGGATGAAAAAATCCCGAGGTCTGCTAAAATTGGATGAGACCGTAGGTCGAGTCCAATTTGGCATTCCGAGGAATTATATCGCGGGTCAGGAAACTGTCCAATTAATCGTTTATTTGGAGACGTCACGGAGACGGGATTTCGCCATCAACTAGTATTTGTTCCCCGACTCACTCACAGAGTTTGCAAAATTAACAAATAATCGTGCGCACGCTTGTTTGGGATTTTGGGCTAGCGATATAATTAACGGGCTAATTGTCTAATATCTGATGGGTTGATTTGCTCGCTGGCTGACTAAAGTAACTACGATACAACTAACTATACAATTACCCTAGTTTTAATTCTATCCCGTCACCGCACTAAGGGCTCACGTGAGGTAGCATTGCGTCTACGCGAACTAAGTTTTTTTTTTAACTTAGTTTAAAAACTAGGTTTTTACACTGCACACATGGTAAGTACTTTTTACCTAGTCTGATACAAGGGAATGGACTAAAAGGGACGGCCCGTCAGTGCTTGGGTGAAGCTGATAGAATTCCAACATTATCAAAGTACGTCTCCTTTAAATCAAACAGCCACTGATTTAGTGTAAAGAGAGAATGAGAACTTCGCAGTTATATTTCAACATAAATTCAGGACAACAAGGGGATTCGAACCCATGACCTTTGCGATTCCGGTGCAAACGCTCTACCACAGCTGAGTTATGAATCCACTGGAGCTGGTCAATTGCGAGTTTTATAATATACCCGCCAAGTGATGAAATTGCGATGAATACATGTACATGAAATAATTCGATCTGTTTTAGTAGTCAGATACTTACTGCTCACTGGCACCCAAGATATGTTCGCATAATACCCTCCGGTTTCAAGTACTTTTAAAAATTACACGCACTTCAGGATACTGGACTTCTGTATCATTTGGACAATTTGAACATTCGGGGCATCCTTTTGAGTTAAAAACATGTATTATTTAGTAATTCATTCGATCGTCAATAAAAAGAACAAGCAAGCGAGCTGTGAATGAGTAATTAATTGAGTAACAATAACGGTAACAGAGAGATAATTGGTCTACGTAGTTACAACAAATAACTGAAAGTAAACCAATAAAACATAGCATGGATTGAAATGCAGAATTAATTAATTAACTAAATCGTTTTGTAACTTCGTTCTAACCTTAACGAAAAGACTAGAAACGAATAATACAAACGTCCAAAATTTTTCGAGATACAAAGGGGGAGATACAAAGGGGGGCACCTTTCTGTCCCCCCCCCCCCCCCCCCCCCCCCCCCCCCCCCCCCCCCCCCCCCCCCCAGGCTCACGAACGAAAACAAAAACAGGCATAACAGTCATAATAGGGTTAACAGACGTTTATAATCATATCAGTATGCGTTACGGATCCATAATCGGCTGATTATACCATTTGTCATACTTAACTCGTAGAATTACAGAAAAAAGAAATATCAGTAAAACTGAGGCAGTGGCAAGCCACAGCCCACAGGAAACTGAGAAAATAGCTTTTTGAAAAGTATATATTTAACCTTACGCTTTGTGTTTGACAGAAGGAGTTGAATTTTGTTGGCTGTTTAATGTATCTACACGAGGAATACAAAAAGTAAAAGCAATCAATTAATCAATCAAGACTAAACGCAAGTTAAAGACGAAAAAAAACTTCTCTATTTAACAATTATTCCATGAGCCCGCGTTGGATATGAGATGATAATAATTCGGCGCGAAACGCGCATCATTGGTTATAATCATTTCATATCCAACAAGGGCGAATGGAATAATTGTTTTATTAAATACTTCACTAACTTTAGGTTAACCTTCGGTATTATACTTTGTAAAAATTTATAAATCGACTGAGTGATTTTTCAGTTCGATCTAAATGAAGCATGATTTGAAAACCGCGGCAAAATGTCTGGCGCGGTGTAAGTTGGCAAGTTGAATGAAAAGCACATTAATATTCATTTTACAAGTTGAACGGAGAGCTGAACGAAGCAAGGGTTTTACTATTTTTACAGCGAGCAAATCATGCGCGACTACAGAATTAATTGTGTTGAAACCAACTGAGCTGAAAATCAAGTTCACTGAAGTAAAGAACATTAAGGAAACCCTCAATATCTACATGGATGGAGAGAAAAAGAGTAATCTTCGAAGGTAATTTCTCTGTGAAGTGATCTTTGATCACGGTACCTGCCGTCAGCGCTAGCTTGACGAACTGCCGTATTTATGCTCCGATATTTATTGAATTATTGTGCTGGTTGAGCTTAGTCCAGCTGGAATTGGCAAGACTCTTCGAATATAAAGGTAACAATACTGAATAGGCTAAGCTTTAACTTGTGTTGCAAATAGGTTTTCATTGTTTTGAAGAATTAAGCTTAAATTGTGCCGGTTTTTTCGGCGGATCTTCCCGTAAGCTTAAATTAATTGTTTCAGGCTGCCTTTACTTAGTGCTCGTTCAGTCGCATTTCCCAATAAATAATTCGTTCCAAACTTCGTGCATTATTAATGGACTTGACTTTTGTTTGATTTAGAAGGGCCAAAGTTTTTTACGTAATGATTTTAGCCATCTTTTTCAAATTTCACTCTCTCGACGAACGAACTACCCTGTTATGAGCTACCATATTTGCAGAATCCGTGTTATGAGCTGATAACATGGGCGCAAGGAGCCAATCAGAAGGCCAGAAATGCAATAACAGTGATTGAGTATTTAATAATTTGAAATATTCTGACATGGTTCACATAACGGATCATCAAGGCAAGTGACAACCTCGTTCCCAGGGTCTCTCCCTGGAGCGGGAAGATGAGAGACCCTGGGAACGAGGTTGGGCAAGTGAGAAGCTGTAAAGAAAGTCCGCAGTTTTGTGTTCCTCGATTTGAGGCTGTATATTAAATTTTGAAGATTCAAGAATATAAATTTACGATAGATAAACTGATCGCCTGATATTCCTCTGATATTGATTCAAAGATTGCAAGATTAATTGATGAGTACCAATAAAAACTTCAGCTTACCACGTTTGATTCTCTTAAAGAACAACGTCATTCCTTGATTTGCAACAGGGCTCTGGTTATTGCCAAGAGAGTCCAGCTTCCCTTAACCATAGAAACAAGTAAGAAACGCTGTATCGTCGCCTGCCTGACTGCCTGACTGCCTGACTGCCTGACTGCCTGACTGCCTGACTGCCTGACTGCCTGACTGCCTGACTGCCTGACTGACTGACTGACTGACTGACTGACTGACTGCCTGACTGCCTGACTGCCTGACTGCCTGACTGCCTGACCGCCTGACCGCCTGACCGCCTGACCGCCTGACCGCCTGACTGCCTGACTGCCTGAACTGCCTGACTGACTGACTGACTGGACTGACTGACTGACTGATTTACGCAAATAAGCAATCAAAACCTTATTTTAAGCCACTAAAAAAAGATTTGAGACGTACCATTCCTTCCAAGACAGTCATTGTAACAAGATTGACGACTTGATAACTGTAAAACAAAATCACTAGTCAGACTGAATCAACAACAGATGGTCGCATGTATTTTATGTAGTTCATATCTAGTCCCTGTAGTTTTCTCATAAGGCCTCATAAACTACACGAACTACTGTTACAGTGTAATTATTGTACTAGTGATTCCCGTAGTTCGGTATCGGTTCCCGGGTGGTTCTAGCCATTAATGGAAACATTGGCTGACGCAGGGCTCATAATTGGATACGGATGGAGTGTTCTATTGCCACCAAGACTTTAATCCAGCTAGCAGCATGAGCGCCCAAAAAATCCGGCAGGGATATTTTACAGGTTGCAGGTTGCAGGTCAACTGCTGACCCAAACCCCCAACAATTAGGCTAACCAAACTAGGCTAACCTTCAGTTAGAATTAGGCTAACCTTCAGTTGGGCTAATTTAAGCTAATTGGGCTAACCGTGACGCCATTCTTTGCCCGCGTGTGTAATATATTTCTAAAAGTAACCTGCAACCTGCAAAATATACCTGCCCCCAAAAAATCACTGAGATGCTAATGTCGTACATGTAGTTTCCAAATCGTTAATTCATGTTTCAAGTTTGACATTTCCTTCCATTTGAAGAAAATTCTGCACATGAAGACAAACGATATTATTTGTGTGGGCTTGCGCGATAGGCTCGATTACCAGCCGCTGTTCGGGAAAATGAGCCCACGCTCATCCCCGAAGGCACGGCTGGACTCGTGAGCTTGGCATTGTTTAATTTACACCAATGAGAAACGTGCCTGCACGAATCGAGCAGGCATAAATTATCTTCCACGGATGCAAAGTAGTTGTTTGGGGCTGGCGTTCGATCGTCTTCAAGAGACATTTAACCTCGAAAACTCTCGAAGATATATGCAATAGGAATCGTTAATGTCAATTAATGGGCATGATGTCCTTTGTAATTCAACCGACAGGATGGATTTTTCATCCGCACCAAGGAAATACATCACGGAAAGTTCGCGCTAAGCCGGGGAGCGAAGCCACTACAACCGCACAAGGCAAACTAATGAGATCCATTTGGACATTCGACATGTACTATACAATACATAAAACAGTCGGTAAACTTTGTGTGATGAATTTTATCTGGGATTTGATGTAAAATCGTGTGGTGCCAGAACGCGACGTCTCTGGCGAAATTGCATCAAAACATTGTTTCTTGTCACGGACTGGTCATGTTATGCGGGTATCAGCGGCCATCCCGAGGGGGCGACCCCCCGGGGCACCCAGGGGCATTTGTCACAGCAGCCTTGACAAATACACGCTAAAGCCCCTCGGGTGGGCAAAAAAATTGTGACAAATACCTCCACCCCTGGGGCAACCTGGGCAGCATATTATAAACGTCTTTAAAAAGTTTTTTCCCCTGATTACTTGCAAAGAAACAAAAAACGCTCCAGCATAAGAAAAATTGGAAACAATCACTTGAATGAGAAAGTTTGCGTCAAGACAGACATGACAAATTCCCTATTTCAGAGGAATCAACAAAACAAGGACTAAAAAACACCAAATAAAATAAAAAAGGGCTAATACAATTACACCTTTGTATTGTACACTATGTTTCATTTGAAGCTTACAGTATCTCTGACCAAATATGAAAAAAAGACGAAACTACACAGGCTGATAATCACACTGAAAGATTATACTGATGTTGACAAAGTCTAATGTCTGAAATTAATGAGAGATATGATTACGTCGCTGTTTCACCATTTGAAAACATTGGAGTGTTGTAAACCTATTCCATAGCCTCGTTCATACACACAATTTAAATGTAAAATATCTGAAATATGAAAAACAAGTATCTGGAAATAATCGGTGACGTTACTTAAAAGTTTTCTTCTTGTGAAAAAAAGTTGTGAGAATAAAGAAGGCTTTGTCTAGTTACTTGTGACAAAATACAACAACATTATTGTTTCAAGAAAGAAAACTAAATTGGTAAACTTAGGGCCTATTTACATGGAGAGAAGTTGTCCCTGGTAAGAGGGTTACCCTCCCGCCCGAGCCATATCTTTTTACCGAGCGTTTTATATGAAAAAGTTGTCCCTGTTGACCGAGCCAAAACTTGGCCCTCTCGGGTTCGCGCATGCTCTATATGTCCCGACTTGTCCCTGGTAGGTGAAACAACAATAGCCAAAAAGTTGGCCCGCTCCCCAGGGTCACCCTACCTTCAAAGCGAGTAACCCTCCACCCAGGGTTGCCCTGCCCCCCGAGCCAA